CCATCTCCCGCAAGCCACCAGAGCTCCCCCCCCACCCCCCGCGGCTCGCAAAATTCTTTCGATGACGCCATTTTAAAGAGCACTTCTGGTCAGGCGCTAGTGACGTACAGCCCGCATGCAAGAGGCAGGGCACCTGTGGTCCCCCGGCTGGGAAACTGTGCCGCTCCACACTGAGCTCTACATCCTGCCTTTTTAAAAGCCAATTCCGCTCCCCGGAGAGAAGCCTGCGGCGCTCGCTTATTCATGCCTTGGACCGTTCCATTTCTCAGCCCTTAAGCCCACATAACTCAGCCTTGTTACACTGACAATCCGTGGAGAAGAGCAGGAACCGGCCATAAGGGAGGGAATATGGGTCCAGGTACGATCTAAACCGACAGAACACACACAGACGCGCACGCCTTCACCCTGACTGACATTTACAGAATGATAAACATCACATCTCTGGCCCCGCTTGTCACTAGGTCCAACCCGCCACTAAAAGAGGCGCCCCAGTGATTGACAGTCCTCGGCCTGCAAACAAAGACTCACATGGCTCCAGTGCTTGGGAAAAATGGACATTTCACCCGTCAATATTTTGGCCGTCTAATACATTTTATTTTCCCCATAGCATTCAGGGAAGCATTTCCTTATGCAAAAATATAAACAAAATTTAAAACACAAAAAAATATATTAAAACTCTTTTTAGCACCTCAAGCAACATCACCAGCAGGGGCAACATCTGAAGTGCCACTAGTATTATCCTTCAAAGGAGGCCTGTCCCCATTAAAAAGCCCCCATTAGAATTAAAGTGGCGAACCGCCCGGCCGAGCGTGCCGAAGATTAAGAGTGCTTAACCACACTTAGTGACCCATAGGTGTTGAGAAAATTGCCCCCTCTCAGAGCCAGCCCTCCACAGACCAGGCACCTACGGTGAAGGGCGTCGTGCCGGCATGGAACGGTCACCGAAACCACGCCGTGCTACGCCTACGGAGAAGGGGGGAGGGGCCACATGCCAGCCGTCACCTGGCAACCGAGGAACTCTTCAACCTGCGATATTAAAAATGCGGAAGCAGCGACTGGGTACCTGTGGGAAGGTGACTGTGTGTGTGGGGCGGAGGGGGCCGCATCAATAACCTGACCCTTCTGAGCCGTTCACAAACCCCCCCCCCCCTCCGCCACTTATTTGCATCGCACGGACCGTATATACATTCCAGTTCTGACAACTTGACATTTTAACAAGGTAATTTAAGCTCATCAAAGAACAGGAGTCGCCCAGGATGACTGAGGAGGTGCGCGTGGAGCGAGGCGGGGGTGGTGGCGGGGGGGGTGGACGTATAGCGAAACAAGCGGGAGCATGTGGAGCGCGTGAATGTGACTGCCAGACTCCCCACTCCATATGGCAAACTAGGGCATCTCAAAAAACCAAGTGCCTCTCAAAAACAGCATCCCCCCCCCCACACACACACCAATGCCCCTCTTTTATGTCGACATGCCTTCAAACACCTTCTGCAAAAATGGGCGAGAGCGAAATAAAATAAAAATCTGTCCGCAGCTTAAGGCAATCACACGATGGAAGATTCAGCCTGTGTAAACACCGAGCGGTTCAGGGAGGTCGAGCAAGAATGGAAGAGGAGAATGTGCTGAATGTGCTGATTGTTATTAATGCCTTTCCTTTTATGGGATGGTAGCTAACACATCTAATCTCCCCCCCCCCCCAGTGATGTTAGGCGAGGAGGCGGGGGGGAACAGGTAGTAGCTTTATTGAAATCAAGATTTGAAGAATAATCTTTCTGCACGGATGGTGACAGATCAATGGGATGGTATTGGAGAAGCATGGCAGATGAACTACTCATTAAAGAGCCATCTGACGTTGGGGGTAAATGTCTGCAAATTTACCCGTGACTATCAAAGCCAATATTCCGTCAGATCGGCGGCCAAGGGAGCCGCGGCCCCGGGAGGCACCGCGGCTGCAACGGGCTCGTTTTTTTAAATCAGCGGCGAAACAAAAACGGCAAACGCGTCGGGCTCCGCCGCCGCTATCTCCGAGAATCGACAGCATGATGAAATCGAAGTCGGCGGGACGGCCGAAGGCAGGGGTGCCAAGGTGTGGCGCAAAACACGCAGCTGCACAGCGGCACGCATCTATAATTCATGCCGCTCCTCTGGCATCGAGATAAGCTTTCGGTCTCGGTCCTCCGAGCCACGGCGGGGACTTGGCCAGGCAGCGGCGGAGCGGGTGGACAGCAGACACCGGTGCCGCCCCAGACATCCGAGTAACGTTCCAGTTATCACTCTGCCGACTCGTACTTGGGGGAGGTGCGGCAGGAGCATATGCTGTGAGTCAGTTCTGCACCAGAAGCCCAGGCAAAATCCCTCCATCAAACAACTCAAGAGGCTGTACCTGAGCCCCTTGTACGTACCTTCCTTCCTATCGCCCCGTTAGGCTTCACCGGGGGAGGGGGCTCGAAGATCCTCTGCTGCTGCTGGGGGGGCAATGTGGAGTACAGCGGGATAATTTTGATGTCCCCCACCTCAGGCCCCAGGTCGTCTACCTCCCGCTTGATCCGCTTGCAGGCCTCGTCGATTTCCTGAAAGATGATTCACGCAATTAGCGTGGGCGACTGGTGGCTGTCACGCGGCGCCCGGCGCTGGTAGCCATCCCCGGGCGCGATCTCGCCAGTGGCGAAGACGAGGCCCAGCGAGGCAGGGACCTGCCAGCACCCGCTGCACCTGAGGAAATTCGGCAGACTCCCTGCGGCCTCGCTGTCGACGGAAGCCGTCAAGGGGCAAAATTTACTACGCAAATGACGGATGGCCATGCTGCCGCATACCTGCCCGCCTGACCGCAGCAGGTTAGAAGTCTCCCTGACCCAATGTAACAGCAGAATGGCTTTCTGAACAGACTGATGGCGCCATAACATGACAACAAGGCTCACATGATAAACAACACGCATCAGGATTGGCCTTCTTGGCTCCGCTGAAAATATTAGTATCCCCAGCAAACCAAAGGAGTCAAGATCGTATCACCCACGTATCTTTACAGCGGAATGGCCTGGAATCTGGGGCTGGGTGCAGAGCAATGTCATAGAGCTGCCTGGTACGGACAGTGTAATCCTGTTACAGATTTGGTTCGCTCCTTTAATTACTTCTTGTAAACAGGATGGGAGGGAAAAAAAAAAAACCTACAAATATAAATATAGCTAAGGTGCAGTGATTGATGTTGTGTGCTCCATAAGCACCCAATCTAGTTTCCTGTACCAGAGGGACAGATGGCTTGTCTAAATTTGGAACTAGAGCCAAAAACAAAGGGGGGAAGGGCAGGAGGGGGGGGGAACAAGGCATCAAGGTTGAACCCATTCATGACTAAAAGCTTTCGGCATTTTCTGTTCAACAATGTTGGCTATAAATCTCATTCTGGTGTTCACACTGGCAATAGGCAATGCTTAAATATCTATTTATAGCCTTGAGGGACCAATACCAGCAAAACATTGGTGCATATAAAGGCTTCAAGTTAATCCCAAATCCCCCAAATCTCCCCTTGAATACAAACACAGTGATTAGGAGACAACATCTGCAGCCCCAATTAACAATGAATTAACATTCCATTCTCCACTAAGTAATGGTCAGATTTGTTGGCTCCGCTACACCAGTTTCTTATTGATCATTTCTTCATTTGGGGAATGGGAGTCAGAAAGGTTGTATATAACCCCGTCCCCGCCCCCGAAACACAGCCAATCACTGGAGGGAACACAGCAAGTATGACAACATTATCTAACTGCCAAAGCAAATAGCAGACCAACTGCAGGGGGCTCACCTGGAGGCCATCCAATCGATTTCATCCACATCATAATCACCAATGTGATGGGGGGGTGGGGTCACTGTTGGCAAACTGTTACCACATGTGCCCAAAATGGCAGCATGGCAGACGTCCTCCAGAGCCTTGGGAACATGCTGCGGACTCCCATGGAACCTCACAGCCAATCACAAGGCTGCCAACCACAGAAAGCCGGGCACCAACAAATAGCATCTTAAATAGATGGGACAAAAACGGCACCTTTTCTTTCAATATGCAGGATAATAAGCTTCAGATGATAAAGATACTGAACTAGTCATCTGTGGTATGTTGCGCTGCAAGCAGGATGCCCACGATGCTACTTAATTCTTTACACAAGGCAAAAAATGGAACCTCATCAACATGAAGAGCAACAGTGTTAGAAAGGTGGTGTACAGACAGGAATACAGAGATGGCAGTTTGCCCCTGGTGGAAAGATCCATAAATCCTTTTCCCAAAGCGATGCAGCACCTTCACAGTCTCACTTATTTACACTCTTGGATATTCACAGCAGTTGTTCAGGATCAGTGCACCATGGGAGCAAACACCACCCACCTGGTAGCATGTTTAACCTCCTATAAGCACTAACCTCACTCAGCGTTAGGCCCTACAGAACTAGCACTGATGCGATGGTTGGTGTGGTGACAGCTGGTCCTGCAGCACCACCATCAGGTCGCAGAGGGGAACACAGAGCCAGTAATATGACCCGCCCCCTCCCCATCTTCCCATCAAGAATGTTCTATGGAGAGGAAGACCAAGGTGTAATTGTGCAGAATGGCTTGAACCGTTTCCAGAAAAACATGATTTCTTAGCACCGAGGACACAATGTGTTGAGTGCAAGTCCCGTTGTCTTGAATATTGACGACGCACACAACTTCCCCTTAGGAACGGAGTTCAACGGAGCTCAGAGCAAGGAACATCGAGATTGCAGGAAACTCTCCACCAATCATAAGGCTCCATCCTAGTTAATACTTCACTTGTCCGCTAGCCGTCACGGTCTCAGCACAGCCTAGTGTGCCGACTTTTGTATACATCTATCCGTATATGCAAATGGTCTTGGTCAGCACATGTGTACAGCAATGATATTCCAACAGACCAGCAGATACCACCTACTGTAAACACCTAGTACCGCGCTATACATTCCTTGTACACAGCCAGACTACACACACTCAAGCGCAAAAAGTCCACTAGACCGAAAAGGCACGGCTGCACATGCACAGTATACATGGACACCCCTAATGGCAAAAAGTACGTAATGTGCATACAAACGAATCGTAAATTAGACCTCTGCGTTTCAGTTCGACGTCACATGCGCAGCTATGCAGTAACAATGACACACGGTTGGTGAGTTATGTGAAACTTAGCTTCGATTGTGAATCCCTATCAAGTCACTTCACCATATCTGCCTGTATCTTTTTTCCCCCCCCCCACAACAAAATAGCCAACTGCAAGGAGCCAATATACAGCCAACTGTAAAGCAGGCTGCTTTAAGAACTTAAAGTAAGCAAATATTAAAATAAGACCATTTAAATTTTCTACTCCAACCAAAGCAGAGGACCTGAAAAACAACAAAAAAAAAAACCTCCTGCAACTCCTTTTGACCTCTGACCTGCCTAATGACACATAGCTCATTAACAAGCTGCTAACAAACCAACTGCAGCAGACTTTCTGCCGGACACTACCCATACTCATTCTCACAAGACTGAACTGTTGACATTCCACAATCTGCCTATGCATATAAAGTGATGTCGGAGAGCCTGATTTCGTTACGCCGCCATGCATCACTAATGGGGGGAAGTGAAGCGATAAGCCCTGCTTCATACTGTAACTTCACGGGGCTGCAAACATGGGGGGCCCGACGGACCTGGGGCACACAGACCGGCAGAAGGACCATCATACGTATGCGTGTGTAGAATAACACATTTATTACCCCCCTGTCCTCCAGCTGCCCACCTCTTGGCCCGTGAGGAAGAGCAGCACGTCCCCTTCCTCCTCCTCGCACATGTGGATCTGAATGACGGTCCGGATGGCGGCCTCCAGGTAGTCCCGTTCCGGCTCGGGTGTGTAGAAGATCTCCACGGGGTGTGTACGTCCCGGGATGGTCAGTAGGGGGCAGTTGTCAAAGTACACCTGGAACTTCCCCGCGTCCAGCGTGGCGCTCATGATGATCACCTACCGACGGCAGGCAAGCCAGATTCAGCATTTGTATGTTTACATTCCTGCCCATCCTTTTGATATTCATGGAGTAAAGTTCATTACGATCTAGAACCAATGGCAGGGTTAAACCCCAGACAGGACACCTATAGATTTAATTAAAGTTTAGTTTGTTCTTTTATACAAGTAAACATAATGATCTCGCTTAAGCCATTCAATTTAGAAACTTTGCTCAAAGGAACAAAAAAAAAAAAAGTCGTTGTCAGGACGTGACCCCACAGCTACTCTACTATTGCATTTTCATGTCCTTATTCTGCATTCACATCATGGCTACGGTTATCAAAGAAATGACTAGAGACCGTCTGAGTCGAGTTGTAAGAGGTCACAATTTTAACTCATCAGGTGGCAACTCATCAACTGCTAGTATTGCTTATAATATGCATTTTTTACAGGATACATAAAATACGCATAATGTGTTCCCCTTAAAGAACAATTTGCCTTTAATAGCCATAATTTTGGCTTATTTGTACCAAGTCTGTGGTGCACGATGCCAAAAATCAGCTGCTGGCAGTTGTGGGACCACTGATGTTTCCAAGTTACCGACTTTGTTTCAAGCCAAAAACCAGCACTTAACGAGGACACCAGTGTGACGTGAACATATAACCCGATGGTGACGCTTGTGTGCGCCTCATCCTGGATCTGTGCTTCGGGGAGGGACTGATACCAACAGGCTCATTAGATAAAACGCATTAGGATTCTGGGTAGGAGCAGCTCTCAATTTTTAATCTAAATATTTCAGGCCATCGTCTCGCTATTCGCTTTACGCACTGCAAAACATCATAATTGCTCTTAATCAAGGTGAATTAAACTTTAGATTTAGAAGGGACACAGGCAAGATATCATTTAGAATAACCTAGACCTCATTTAACAGTCTCTGAACACATGTATAACCTTTGATTTGCTCCTAACAACAAGCAGTCATTACCCATCTGCTTTATGGGAGATGTGTCCGGCACATTCCATCTATAAAAACAGCATGCCTCCAGTCCTCCTAGATTGATGGCTTTAAACAAGCTGACGTAGTAACAATCTCCTCAGCAGCGCAGAGTGACTCACCCCATACCACCAAGCTGAGCGTGTTACTTTTGCTTTTCCCCAGCGGCCACACAGATGTCACACAAAGTGACTTCATCACTGACTGACGACAAAAGAAACGGGGGTACAAAACAGTTCTACGTGTGAGGAGTAGGGTCTCTGGGAGGTGCCATGGAAGTGCCCTGTGGGGATAAGGAGTGGCAGCGCTCCATGAAGAGCAGGGGAGAAGGGCAAGGGAATGGTGGGAGCGGGACTCTGTAAGAAAGGGGCAGGGCTCCACCAGGAAGGGGGGGGGCTCCAGCAAGAAGGGGAGGGGTTCCACCAAGAAGGGCGGGACTCTAAGGAAGGGGGAGGGGCTCCACTAGGCAGGGGAGGGGCTCCACCAGGAAGGGGAGGGACTTTAAGGAAGGGGGAGGGGCTCCACCAAGAAGGGGAGGGGTTCCACCAGGAAGGGAAG